AAAAAAAAAAAAAAAAAAAATGGAAAAAAAGACAACTTGCTTATAGATCTTCATATTCATGTAAAGGTGGCTACATATTTGAATCTGTATATCTAAGAGCCTGTGTGGGTAAAAAAACAAACAAAAAGAAAACAGAAAATAACTATTGTTCTTGATTCTTCTTTAATTTAATTCAATCAATCAATCCTAATGTCAACTACCATTTTTATTGCAATCGAGATTTCAGTTCATCACAAGACTTCGCATACATTGGGGTGGGGTGGGGGCTGAGAGGGGGAAGGGATTTACTGAGGCCACGCGTGCCGCAGAACGCTACAGTACCTTTGGCGCGTTCTTATGGCTCGCCGGGTACCAGGCGGTTACCTATAGCGCTGCCTTTATCTCTGTGGAAAGATATGAGCCACATTGGGGAAGAGAGCGGAAAAAAGCAGATTTCACACTTTATCCTTAAGCGGATACGGTTTGGGATATGAAAAAAAAAAAGTTACGTTATAAAATAAAGTTCTAGTTTTATAATTTTCCCAAACAAATCCTGAAGACACCCAACTTTAGTCTGATAGTTATGCCCATTATGAGTGGATGTAATGTTATGTTAATGTTATATCAGACTAACTTTAAGGTTTAAGTAAGTGTTTTACTTTCAAATGCTTGAAGTTGGTGGACCTCTTTTAAAAGGCTCTGTAATAGCTGCAAATGTTTGTCCCCTTTAAAAGTTTGTGATTTGACATTTTAAAATGATCTCCTGTGGAGGCAGCAGTCTTCCTTTTGCATGGTCTCTCAGTGAATGTATGAGTTATCTACCCCCAATTCTCTTATATTCCAAAACAAATTGCTGTTGGCTCAATTGTTTGCATTCCCTGTTTTTCTCTTTGTAATCATGTGACAGGCCACACCTTTCACCAAATAAACACCTCTGACAGGCATGACCATGGATGGATGTTTTCATTTTTCCCTTTTCAACTACTTTTCTAGTTTTTGGTAGAAGTCGCTGTCATTTTGGTGTACATTAGTAGAACTCTTCACAGAGCCTCTATTTGGATCACAAATTAAAATTGTTTTAGAAGGACTAATTTACTACTAATTAGTAGTAGTACATTAGTAGTACTACTAACTACTACTAATGTAAAGGAAGTTTTTGTGGAACATGTTAAATAATTTGCTGAAAGCAGCCAAAATCTTTATATCTAGCTTGAATTTCTATCCTATCATCTTGGCAATTCATAAACAAAAATGTTGTTTAATGAATATTATATGTTTTAGATGTAACATATTATTTATATTCCTCTTCTTGAGTAACTTTATTATAAAACGCTGAAAAGCTGTGGCTATCTTCCCCCAGTTCTCTAGTTTGTGTCCTGACATTATTGAGAACTAATTTTTTTCCTAGAAAAACAAAAAACTTTATTTTCTAAATCTTGGAATGGATGCCATTTATCGGGGCAGTGTAAGAGAGAGGAGGACTTTCAGAAGATAACAGGAAGGTTTTATGGGGTAAAATGTTGCTATTTTATCCTCTTGGTTTATTTTTTCATTATCACGGAACATTCTGGATTTATAAACACCAACAGAACTGGTAATAATTCACAATTTCTGGAGAAATATACAAAGACACAAATCATTAATTTAGAGTTAGAAAAATGGTTTATCATGACTAATCTTCTTAGGATGGATATTAATTCAATGATGTATCAATTAAACAGAAATGTGCAAATCTCTGCAGCAGGATAATGGGTGTTACTGCAAATCTACACACGAGCTGGAATCATGTCCATATTGTGGGTGTTTTACAGCTGACCTCCCCAGGATGCAGCTCAGTATTACCGCTTCTTGTTTCATGCCTATTACCTTAATTAAACATTGATTAAATTCCTATTAATGTGCACCGAGTTACAGACTGGGTGTAATCAGGTGAAACAGACTTAATAAAACATCCAGTGTGGTGCTCAGGAGAAAAAAAGGACTCCCTTGAGGAGGACAGACAGATGGTGTCAGGAATCACCACAGAGGACAAAGCAGAGTGGATAAAGCAGATCTCAGCCACCACTTTGGTGATTACTTCTAAATTGGTAATTTGATCTGCCCCCTTTTCCACCTACTCATTATTGATAAGGCCGGCCATATCCAACCATATTTCCCCCCTACCTCTGCTGACCAGACTCAACTTCCTGTCGATCCTGCCCACGCTGCACTGTGTTCAGCAGACCAGACAGGAAGTGTACTTTCAGATGAAGTCTTAGTGGGAAAAGTGGGATGCATAATGGTGACACATGCATGATAGAAATCCCATCTGTCAGGAATCCTCCTAATCCTATCATCTGAATTGAGCAGGAAAAAGAGGAGCAGCAATCACTTTAGGCAAACCTGCTGTGGGATTATGTCTTCTGTCTGTGATGACGGGTCAAATGAGGACATCAAAGGGAGTAAGACCATCAATTGATCTAGTTTTGGTCAAACTGATGATTAAAAGCTTTCTAAAGATGATGTTTCTTTTTTCAAACAATAATACAATAGTTAATATTCACAGCTGAAGATTAAAACAATTAACCCGTGATCTAACCAAGTCCACTTAGAGTGGGAACATATGAAAATAATTGATCAATCATAGCACATGGCCCCAGGGATAATTTATTTTAGTTGATTTTGTGTTGTTTATTGTTTTTCTTATATCCTTAATTCCACAGCAAGGTGGTCGCAATAACATTCCTTCATCACTACATCACAACCTCAAACATCCAAACCTCAAAGGATCTGGGTGGACCGGTGGAGATCGAGGGGTGGGTTAACTTTAACCCTTTTATTTTTATTTCCTGTGGACTTCAGTTTTCTTTGTTGTTCTTTTACTGTCTTGTTTCTGTACCTAATTTGAAAGCATATACAATCTGAACACACTTAAACAATATCTGAATTCAACTTCTTAAAGGAATATAGGACGATCTTTTATTTCCGGTTGGATCATCTCATTACGTGGTCCTCCTAATTATCAATCCTTCTGGGGACATGTTTACATGCTCGTCCAGTTAGCTATCTTTTTCTGCCCATCTTTACGTTCAGGCATATATCTGTAGTGAGCTATGGTTTCAGACAGTCATTGAAGCTCATCTTTCTCACCGCAGTTCTTTAAAAATGACCGAGGGTCATAAGAGAAAAAGTTTCTACGAAGCGTGTAAGAAGAAAAGAAAGGCCTCAGCAGATATATCCCGGAATTATGGGATTTGCTGTCGCCAGAGGCGACATTAGTCGCCGCTATCGGGTAGCGGCGACTAATGACAAAGATGGCGCAGTCACCGCGCAGTGGACCAATGGGGAAGTGATCATCTGCCTGCACGGTCAGTTAACTGAGTTTGCTATAAAGTCCACTATATAATCCCCGCTCTATATAGTGATTGAGAGATTTAAGGGTTAGGGCGGACGTTCGGACACAGTAACCTTGTATTAGTTATGAAAACAGCAACTTTTAAACAGAGTATGCACGAGGAGAAAAGGGGTCGTGCATGCTCTCACATGCACATTTTTTTTAAGTGGAGAGGACGGGTCTTTTAAAAAAATCAAGAAAATCCTCCACAATACCTTTATATAAACCTAAGCATATCCTCTTAGACACATTTGACACATTTTGCTGAAGCAGAAATCTTTCCATTACAGTTTATTATTTGGATTTATTTATAATTTATATGATGGAATCTGACCAGATTTTGACAAGCTACTGCTAAAAAAGTGCTTTCATATCAATATATCGATTTACATGCCAAGTTCTCAGTGAGTCTTTAATGCAGTCTGCATTTAGCTTAAAAGAGATTCACGATTCACCTTCAGTCCAGACATTTTCTGGCATAATCCTACATTAAAGCAGCTAAAAGTATGTTCCATACTGTCATGATTTTCTTGAGAGATCTGACCCACATGCAGTAAACCACTCGGAGACCAGTGTAAAAGTTTGAACAGGTTTATTGATGAGGCCAGTGGGGGTAGGATTCAGGAAACGTGTGCTGGTGAAGCGGAACTGGAAGAGGGAAGGGAAGTATCAGTGGTTAGTTCAGGATCTGTGGGAACTTTGAGTGATGACTGGAGAGACAGAGAAAACGGGACTCAGGTTGCTTGAGAAGACCTTTTCTCCCACAATCCAGTTAGTGTGGGTTTATTCAGTGGTTGAGACTCGTTAGAGGGCGGACAGGTTAAGACTTGGTTGGATCCTGAGAAGCTATTGAGTGGACTCTCACTTGGGAATCCAGGAGGACCTGAATGGAACTTGTGGAGATTAATACCCTGCTCAGTGTGAGACTCAACCTATCCTTCCAGGGGAAGAAGGCCAAAACATCCAGCTTGCAGGAAGGCTTCCTGTCGAAAGGCAAAGACAAAAACAAGGTTAGGCTCAGCGAAGAAACAAAGACTGAATAGACTCAGCAAAACTCGGCTTGGCTAGAGTACCCAAAACTGGTAAACACTCTGGCGTTGAGATAGTGACAGTCCACCGCTCAAATAGTCCTCAGTAATGAGCCAACCGGCCACAGGTGTGTGGGAGGCCCAATGAGAGCAGGGCGCCACCTGGTGGTGGAAGGAGAGAACAAAACAAAAACACAATCCACACAAACTGGATTCCTAACAAATACAAGACCTTAAACTCTTTAAATAACAATTGATAATGCATATTTATTAATTAACCATGAGATATGACAACAGATTCTGATACCAAATGTAATAGTACTTAGATCAGAGAAGTTGCGTAGGGTTACAGAAGGCAGCTGCTTACCAACAGGGCTCACTTCTCAGGAAGTGGCCCCGATAAACGGTTAAAGAAGCATTTTATACAACTCCAGTCTGCCACATCATCACATCATTACATCATACATGTTTGCAGATGAGTGACATCCATGGTTCCAGCCTTATTAAGATATTATACTTTGTTCTTTGCTGAAGGACACCGCTGTCATTCCATTCCCAAATCTTTGATATGTACAGAATTAGGTTTATAACTGTATATAGCCGGACTGAGGAACTGGCCTAATTAGATAAACTTCTGTAGAAAACATCAGTTCTGATACGCAACAGGCAGCTAATATTAAGGTGTAATAAACTCACACATCATCAATGATAATTATCTTAACAATCCACACCAGCACGCTTAGGAGGAAACGCCAACAAAGCTCATTGTCCTCCACCTTGTGAGTTCCTCTTGCCCCCCGTCACCGTCTCTGTTCCGGGGTTACAGCTCATGAATGAAGGGTGCGCTTGGGGAGGAACTGCTCGGTTGCTCCCTGCAGTGGATCGACTTGAGCTGACTCGGGGCTTCTATGAGCTGCGAAGAGAGATGGATGAGTTTTTGGTCACCGTTTTTGGACGTGTCCATCTTGATGGATGAGTTAACACACACCAGCTCCACGGGGCGCACACTGGAAAAACGATAACTGAATTTGAGTAGGTAAATGAGATAGTTTGCCAATGGAATGAGTATTTTTACACTTAAAATAAGATAATTAGATAAAATGCACTTATAATAAGACAATGCAATTGTGTCTTATTATTTTAAGTGTAAATTATCTTGTTCCATTGGCAAAAATGTCTCTTTTACCTCCTCATTACAAGAACAAATGCACTTATTTTAAGAAGAAAATTACCTATCTAGATTTAGATTTTTTTCCAGTGGATCGGACATAACATCACTATACTGTGCAATGGAAGCATCACGTTGAATGTTAGAGGGCTGTATGAGAGAGAACGAATCATCATTGAGTCTGCTTTAGAAGTTGAAGAGACTCGAAACATTTCTGTAGCCTTGATGCTGTAAAGAATATTGACCAGCATATTATAAGTTAAACCTCCTGAAATTATTGTCCTTTTTTTATTTTTACAGAAACCAGTGTTTATCTCCTTTGTCACTAAAGCCATTCTGTGGGATAGAGGAGGCTGCCACCACAAGGTAAGTGCACCAATACAGTGAAAAAAACACAATCAAATGTATAAATTTAGTGGCTATGAGAAAAATAAGCAACCACCTTGAAGCATACAGTTTGTCTATGGATATTATGAACTCTAATTTTTTTTTAAACTTTTTTTAAAACTTTTTTACCTTAAATCTCTTTATAAAAAAGGTACTTTTTTCCTGATATCTTCAAACTGAAGATGAGGGTTTCTTACGGTCAAGTAGGTAAAAGTAAAACAAAATCATTGGAGTTTTATGTGTATTTACAGTTTGGTATAATAGTTCTAAAGAAAGCTGTTAAATACGTCAACCCTAAACCTAAAACCCAACAAACTTGCGTTTATACCTATACAGTACTCAACTGTCTACATAAACTCTCAATCATCATTCCTTTTAAAATGATTTTTTTTATTATGTTTCTCAACTATTGTTCTTTCAGGGTGAAGTGATGGTAAAGTAAATTTCAAAAACAGAATCTGGTTCCGCATGTTTTAATTTTATGGGGATTTTTTCTAATCGTTTGTATTCATTCATTTAATCTGTGGAAAAATTTACTTTGTGTAGCTTTTTTATTTTGTTTGAATATATTCATAGTAGATAATAGGGAAAAAAACAAACAAATCAAACATAAAGCCTTGATGTACACCAGTACTTTACAGAAATACCTTCTTGTCATTCGAATACAACAAATGTATCCTAATAATTTCAGAAGCTGATAAGGTAAAACTTCTTAACTGGAAATTAATTTTAATGTGTGAAACACATTTTGTTTCAAATAAGGGGCACTATTGGAGAAGTTAAAATATTTGTCCTGGTTGCCGCAGCATTAAAGCCATACCATTTTGAGCAGCTGGGTTCGGACATGCGCTTGATGTTCAGTTTATTTCCAGCATAAAATAATTCAGGCCTTCATTTATGCATTAGTGACCTGTGTTTGCATGACCCTTAACTCTGGATTAATTTTATTGGTGTGTGGATGTGTGAGTTATTGGGTTAAGTGGAGCGGAGATGCAAAGTTGAAATTGTAGTGAGAGTGGTAGTTGGATACAAGGCATGACCCCATGGAGGCCGTACAACCCAGATGGTTGTTGGTAAGGCTCAGGAGGAGCAGCTTCCAGACCAAAGAGGCAGATGTTGGGCATAGAGGCCCTTCAACCCAGCATTTTATGCCTTTTTCAGCCAAATCGAATCCACCTCAGCCTCCAGAATCAGCTGGAAACCAGAAGGTCCAAGGTAGGAAGGATTTATTAGTCAAGTAACAAGGAGAAGGAGACGCTTATCAGAGTCTGGCGCAGTCCAAGTGGCCAGCCACCACCACAGCACATCCTAGGAGCTGTAGGTAACCACATGGGAGCTCAGCTTGTTTAGGATTGCCTTCGACTGTTCTAGTTAAACAGTTTAACTAAAACATCAATAGTTCAACTTTTCTATTTTCTTTAGTCCAACTGTTTTTAATATTCTTTTTTGTATCTGCATTTTTTATTTTTTCCTACTTGCTTTGATTCTGTTTTATTTTCCTGTATTTTAATCATGTAAAGCACTTTGCATTGTCTTTGTACTGAATTGTGCTATACAAATAAATTTGCCTTGCCTTGCCTTGCCTCAGCTCTCTGAAACATAGCCAAAGACTCCACACAAACTACACCCCTTTCAAGGTGGAGAAACCCCACCAATAGACAATGCATTGATATAAACACTTTAGCTATGCGATACGCATTTGCACAACCTCATTTGTGTGAGCTGTATTTCAATACAAATAAATGTAAGAAAAATTGACCATAAAAAAGAAAAGATTAAAAAAAGTTGCTTAAGATCTCTTGATTGAAGTAGTATTTTTGAATTTACAAAAAATCAAAGGATTCTAAGATTGACCCAATTTATACATCAAAACATATTACACTACACTGGATCTTCCTTTTTTAAAATCAAAATAAAATGCATTAAAAAATTCCAGTGTTATGTGATGGACAAAAATTTAAAAATCATATTTTTTAGTTTTTATGCATTTAGTAAGTGGATTCCTTGTGACTGATCTTATAATGTTTAGATTGCTATTTATATTAAAATTATGAGGGAAATATCTTGATATAAAGCTTTGTTATTTCTGGTTGAATAAGTTCGGTCTTCACTTTGCTGGTGAAATAAAAAAAAAATGGTTCTCACTCTGATGCACAAACAGGATCACACACACCCACACGCTTAAACTCCCAGTCTCCACCTCTCCCATTTGCTTTGAGGCTGGGAGGGGATGCGCCATCGTTAACAGTGGGGTTTCCATGGGAACGTCATAGCCGCGTGGGCCGCCTTCCTGTCTTGGCCTCTGGTTAAGCAAACAAAGTCGGCAGACAAAGCCGCCTGCTCACTCTTACAGCCTCATTTACATCCTGAGCTGCTTTCTGCTTTCAGAAACTCCCATCAGACCTAATATCAAGTCTTTCCTTTTGCTGCTTTGTTGCGATTTGGCTAGATCTCATAAATTTGGAGCAGAATTGATGATGATAAAACTTAGTTGCACAACTTTTCCTATAAGTGTGTCAATGTGGAGATACGCAGGAGGCCAACAAGAGGCTGCGGAACCAGCAACATGCTTTATACTGGTGGCAAACTCCTGTAGGGTCGCCTAGGACATGAACCCTCAGTGATGCAGAGATGCACCAATTCGAACCTTATTATATGACAGTCATTCCAACATGGTTAAAGCAAGCTGACATCATGGTAACCCCTCTAGTTAGTAAGCGCCAAACCCAAGCTTCAGAAGTATTTTGTATTTCAAACCTGGTTTGTGATACAGACCAGCAGGACTGCAGCCCACTGGTAAATTTATAGCCGTTATTGTTAAAAGATGGATGCAGACCAACTCCTTTACAACAATATCTTGCTGCGAATTATGTAAATGTTTGGCATAACTTTTTAAGGTCACTGAAAAATAGCTGAAAATGTTCTTTAGCCTCTAAAAAAACCCATAACCAATGCTCTTTCATTCATAAGCAAAAGTTCGATTGCCCTTTTTGTAGTTTTATTGACCTGGATAACAGAATTTGCACAGGTTGTGCTACCATTTAATAATATCCTTATGTTGGTGCAGAAGTATTAGCGCCTTTTAGAAAAACTGAGCCAAAGTCTGGTTGCCTTCGATTTTATAATAATCAGAAAAGGTGGACCAAGAATTAGAACTGGACAACCAGTGTGAAAGCTTAACAGTTTATTGAAATTGAACTGCTGCAGATAGTGTCAGCAACAAGGAAAGGACCCTCTGGTAACAGAGACAGAAGATTAGTGACCAGGTCAGCTTTACGATGTGCATCAATCATAAACGTAATGGTCAGTAACCTTCTCTTAGTCCTCAGTGTGGGAAGAACATCTAGATTAGGTCCGTGTCGGTTGACAGTAAGGTCGATGTTGCTGTCACTTGTCTGGAAGTCCCAGATGATAATAAGTTACGATGATCAACAGTCAGACAGAGGGTCAGAACCGCGTAGACAATAGACAGTTTTACAGTTGTTTTTTCTATTTCTGCTTCTGTCTCCTTGTCGGCCTCGGCAGATGGCTGCTCACACTGAGCCTGGTTCTGATGGAGGTTTCTTCATATTAAAAGGGAGTTTTTCCTCTCCACTGTCGCTACAAGTATGCTTAGTGTGAAGGATTGTATTCGAGTCGATTAGTTGATGCTATGAACTGGTTTTCCTTAAATTTAAAACTTTAAATCAATGTGACTGTATGATCTGGTGAAATGTAAAGTTCCTTGTGATGACATGTGTTGTGAATTGGAACTATAGAAATAAACTGAAATGAATTGAAGGAGGACAAACCCGAATCCGTAGTCGGGGGCGAAGTCCAGGGTCGGAGCCAGGTGATCAGAAGTCCAATGAAACACTGGAGGGAAATCCAGGATGAAGTCGAGAAACGGTTCTAGGTTGGACAACGAGCAGGCAGACAAACCAATCAGGGTCGGGTATAAAAGGCAGGCAGTCAGGTCAGACAGGGAATCAGGCAGGCTCAGAAACATGGACAGGTCAGGCAAACAGGCCGAAAGTCAGGAATCAGAATGCCGGAATAGTTCGATAGAACAAAACATCCTACTTGGCCCTTATACAACAAGTCAGGGGGTTAATTCAAATAATATTTTAGAGAGCAATTTGTAGAGCTAACTGAGGCCTTCAGAGTTTAAAATGATCTGGGGATTTTTCATTTTCCATGATCTGATTTCTGAGTGGAATTTCCTGGGATCTCCAATCCTGAGAAGATTGGCAACCGCAGGCCTGGACTGGCTTATCAGGAGGACCTGAACAATTCCCAGTGGGCTGATCTTATTTTAGGGCTGATGACATTGTCTTTTATTTTTTTATTTACTGGTGTTCAGCCATGATTAGATCACTAACACTGCTACCGCCATCCCTGGGCTGCCTCCACCAAAACTGGCAGCTTTTTTTTTTCTTTGTGCACCCTGATGTAACACGTTGGTTGCACTCTGTCGGTCAATGGTGTCTGAAAGTGGGAGAGTAAAAGGAGTAAGGGTGGCGGGGAGAAAACCAAAATGAAAGAAAAAAGCTCTTGAAACAGACGCTGCTAAATGTGCAAGAATTGGCAGCTTGAGGCTTAAAAACATGCAAAGACAGATAAATGTATAAGGTGATAGACTTTCCCTGCAAACCACTGAACATGTTCATTATAAACTCATTACATTTTGTGATGTTGTGGCACATAATTCAATTATATCAATTATATAGTTTAAATAATGGCAACGCCACATAAATGGGAATATTTGTCTTGTAGCCCCTTAGAGTCACAGGGACTATAGAGTACAGCCATGAGCGCACCATGCCTGAGTTGGCAGGTAGGATTACTCATTAAATCAATATAAAATGAATCTATGACATTTTGTTTGAATTTTACTTAGTATCAGAATCACAACCAGTAGTGATGATGTGATTGCTCATGTTTGTAGGTAGAAAAGGTGCTGTTAGTGGGTGAACAAACAAGCATAAGTTCTAAAAGCTTTCTATACCCAAGATATCCAAGGTGATATGAAATTAAATTTGAATATTACTTAATTGGTTAAGTTCAAATGTGTTTTCTGTGTGCTAAAACTTTAAAGATTACTGGTTTTGCATGTGATGCAGATCCAGGAGAGTCTAGGAAAACTGGAGGAAGTGTAAAATATCAATACTTTCAGTTACTTTATTTCACTTTGAACATTTGAATATCTCTGAACACTTATTTGAACAGAATGTTGATTCTGATATTGTTGAAAAAAATATGTTATGGAGAATAATGCTGGGAATTTGCACTAATACTTTAATAAATACGCATTGTAAAGCAACCCAAACCTGTACTTTATTAGAAGTATTTTAGAAAAATCCACTTAATTAAAAGTCTCTACAGAATAATGTGAGGCAGTAGACTTAACCTCTAAGTTTACAATTTCATGCTATATGTCATTATCTTAAGCGAGCCTACCTGAGGCAGAAACTACCAGCGCTTAAAATGTGTCCCTGTCATGATTTTACAAAGTTCAGACTCAAATGCAGAAAACCAAAACAGAGAGACCAGGGAAAAGGTTTAACGGGTTTTATTGAAGAAGTTTAGCAGAGGGAGAAGTGTTGCTCTGAACACTGCTCAACCGGAACTGTAAAGTGAGGGGAAGACAGCGGTTAGTTCAGGCTCAGTGGGGAATTTGACTCGAGAACTTGGAGAAGTGGATTTGGTTGCCGACTCACGTTTCCAAGAGAGAAGCTGTTGAATCCTTGACTCCTGTCTATGTGCTGTAGTTCCAATGTTTGACTGATGCGGTGGAGGGCGTAACAGGGTTTATCCAGAATGCGGCTGTTAGTTGGGGAACGGAGAAACTGACTGCCACTCAGATTTCCTGCGGTACTTGAACGGGTCGAGGTGGAGAATAATCCCTTTCTCAGTGCGAAGCTCAAATGATCTCTTGGGGAAAGTGGATCCAAACCTCCTGTTTGAACCCCAGCTCAGTTTGAAGCTCACTAGAGCCTTCCAGGGAGAGAAGGTCCGAGAAATCCAGTTTACAGGATGACTTCCTGCCGAGAGGCAAAGACAAAAACAAAGTTAAACTCAGGTTGACAAAAACTCAGTTTGACTCAGCAAAACTCAGCTTGGCTAGAGTACCCTAAACTGGCAAACATTCTGGCGTCGAGGTAGTGGCAGTCAGCAGCTTAAGAGCACTCCGTTTAACGAGGAAACCATCAGCAGGTGTGTGAGGAGACGAACCAGAACCAGGCGCCTCCTGGTGGATGAAGGGAGACAAACACAGAAACACAAACACAAAGGCAGGAGTCCTGACAGTCCCACTCCGGCCCTGGGCACCTGTACTACAGAAATAATCATTTGTTTGTGGATTTTTTTTTTATTTTATTTTGTTTTTTTGTTTGTGGACTTTTAATGTTATCACGCTCCTGAAATAATTCCCCTTGCTGATCCCTTTGCACCTTAAGGACTGAACACTACAGGAAGGCTGAAAAGCATATTTTGACAAATCTTGGGCATCCGACCTCTAAAGAGAATTCAGATATGGCCGATCATAGCTTTGCTAAAATCCCTTTGGAAGTCGTCCACAAATTTCCAATGGTTACATCTCCATGTATGTCTGTGGTGTTGTCTTGTTGTTATTAAAGGTTTCCAGTTGGTTCTTGCCCCCTCTTCTTGGGGATAAGATTGCATGTAAAGTGAGGACATTGTCTTACTATTGAAAGTAGAAAGTTTCTCTGAGCGCTAAGCTGGATCCAAGCCTGGCTTCTGACACGAGCTGATAATCAGATTTACTCCCCTGAATCCGCTGGACTCCACAATGCTCCCCACTGTCGTCGGCCCCCACATTGCCTCTGACCACCACCCCCCTACATCCCTGCAGCAAAGCCAATTACAGCCCCCAGAAACACAAATCTCCATGTTTTAAAAAGTCACTCTTTTTCAAGGGTTTAACCTTGTTAGGCCGTAAGCCTGGCTTTCTTGTGCATCAGCTCTGTGAAGAATTCTCTGTCCTGCAGACTCTGGGACATAGACACACTTCTGTCTTTGCTCGTAGCCGTCCGCCTGTCAGAGGGTTCACTTGGAGGCAGTGTAATTAAGTGTGTGCATGCGTGCGTGTGTGTCCATGCTTATCTATGCTTATGTGTTGGGTGGTGGGTGGATGGGTTGTGGGGGCGAAGGCTGCACACGCAAGGCTGTCCTCTGCAGGCCATCTGGGACTCTGACTAACTAATAGACTTCCTACATTCATCGAGCAGCGGCACTTGTACATCTCAATCAGGGAGCTGTTGAGCACAAACAGGCCCGTAATGACATTAGCCAGTTCTGGCCGTGTCAGGACAGCGTGTGGGTTGCCTGACGCCAGGAGGTCAGCCCGTTTCCTGGGGGCCTGCATGGACCCAGAGGAGCCAACCCGACTCTAATAGATCTGCAGAAAGCGTGGTCCGATGTACTGTCCCTGCTGGAAAGACCTCCCTCTGGAAGAGCTCACAGCAAACATTAATCAATTTAGTAAATCTGCTGTCAATCTTGCAGTGCCACCACTACTGTGGCAAATTGTAGCTCTGTAACTTCTGAAGTAAGAAAAAAGAGTTTAACCCTCTAACAGTTTTCTTTAAAGGTTTCATCACTCTGTTAACCTGTCATAAATCTGTTGAAGGAATCAAATTAATATGCATCATCTGTAATGATAAAGTCTGTCGTCTAAAAGGAAAACTTCCTCGGCCAAAAAATCCTAACTACATGTACAAATTTGGTTTAAAATCATGTTCAGACTTGCAGTGCGAGTGAAACCGGCCTTGTCTATCTGCACTAACCCTTTTGATCAGCCTGAGTGACAGGCAATGGGGAGGCCTTGGGGAGGGTGAGGAGTGTGGACAGGAGCAGCCTCCAACACCGTCTCTTGTTCTGTTGTTACTTCTCCCTTTTTTACATCACAAGAATGCAAATCTTTGAAGCTTCCACGTCTGAAAAAGGACATGGTGTAGGGATTAAGAAACTGATCCTCCCTGAGTGAGTTAGACGGTCACCCCACCTTTCCCCTTTTCTTCCTCTCTTTAAAAAAGATTTAGTGGATTCTGGATTTGTGTTTTCAGTTGTTTTTTTTTTTACTGTGCAATAAAAAGCAAAAAAAAAAAAAAGGAGATGAACTTTGTTTTAGATGAAGCCTAAATCCAAGACAAATAAAAGTCCTGCGTCTGTGTGCCATTTATTACTGCTGTTTGCTCTCTGTGTGCCTCAGGCCCAGAATGAGTCACTGGCACCGAAGCTGAAGGACAGACTGGTTTTCATTGGTTGGAGTTGCCCTCATTTCAATATTTACCCGGTTTTATTTTATTGTGTAGCTGACAATTTACTCTGAAGTTTTATCATCTTAAAGATAGTCTTTTTTTAACCATTAGAAGAGGCAGGTTTTAGTTCAGGAAAACATTTATATGGTAGTAATTACTCATATAAACACAAGGGGGCAGTGGTGGTAGTGTGCATTCATAGTTTTCTGCACAAGCAATACTGTACTTCTTTTATTTATATATATTTTTAAGTGGTTTCCATTTCTCAGTTTTTAATCCCAGACCATAAATAATGATTTTTGTTGTGCATAAAGTTAAAAAATGATTAGACATTACATTACAAACAGTTTAACGGCTTCTTTTCTGTTTTACATAAATTGCTTTAATGGAAAAACTTTTTTTATTCATATTAATTGATTACTTTAACATTAATTCCCATTCCAATTTTTTCCTCATTTTCTTTGTAAAATTGCTTGAATTTTCCTCTGAATGTTAAAGCTTTTCTTTTTTAAATTGATGACTGTAAGTTGTTTTTTAGGTTATATCAACCATATGTTCTATTTAGTTAAAATTCTTATTAAAACCTACAATAAATTAAAGAAGTATTTAAAACAATTTAGCTGAAGTTAGAAATTTAAAGTGGAAAATGACTAAAAGTAATTAATATTCTTATTTTATTTTACAATAAAAGGGGGTTTGGGTTTCTTGGATTTTTCATTTCCTACCAAAATACCAGTAAGTCAGATCAAGAAGGAATAAAAGGAAGATTTCAATACAACAAAACCTTTTTGTTTTGAAATGTGTGTTCTCATACTACAGGTCCGTGATCACCAGGTTCATCATACAGCATCTGTGTGTCCGCGGTTTTTGTCCCACATGAAAGCTCGTCCCGAGGTCTTCCACTCTTCTTGTCATCCTAACAATAAGCAGCACCAGCAGCTTCCACCTCAGAAGAAGATGCAGAGTTTAAACATGACTCCCGCCAAAGAGACCCAATTTTTAGAGAGTAAGTTTATAAAACCACCTGACTTTTCCACCACTAGATCTACATCTCATCCAAAGATAACTTTTTAAAAATTTCTTTGCCTTGTTCCTAATCTTAGCAGTCAGCATTGAGGCCACCAGGCATGTTTTGGATTTTAAAGGAATAGTACACCCAAAACATGATTAGCCTTCATTTTCTACTCACCCCCATGCTGAACAACACTCTGGAGTACTTTTTTGATATCTCAAATGCATCTGGAGATCTGGGAGGCTTCTTGCTGTCTGCTGACATTCAAATAATGGAGGTCTGTGGCGCCGAGACAGAAAGGTCCATAAAAGTCCACAAAAACGTGTCAATATTCCTCCATACTGCTCGTCCAATGTATTCCAAGTGTCCTGAGTGGGTAGCATCCAGAATTTACTCGAAACGAAGTCATTTAGAATGTTTTTAGAGCATAAACAGTACTGTATAGGATTTCCTGAAAGCGCGCGCCTGCACGTTCACGACGCTACGGAAGCCGGCAGACCAAACCGGATGAAAGTGCGCATTCAGCGTCTGCTCTGCCGATAATGCAAGCGTAGAAGAAGAAATGTGCTGTTTACCTGTGCAAAGAAAGAAACAACGAAAGAAAAATGTCTGAGGACTTCAGTGTTGAGGAAGAGCATGAGTTCTTTGCCGAGCTGAATGCGCACTTTCATCTGGTTTGGTCTGCCGCGGTTTCCGTAGCGCCATGAACGCGCTTTCAGGAAATCCTATACACTACTGTTTATACTCTAAAAACATTCTAAATGACTTTGTTTCGAGTAAATTCTGGATGCTACCCACTCAGGACACTTGGAATACATTGGACGAGCAGTATGGAGGAATATTGACACGTTTTTTGTGGACTTTTATGGACCTTTCTGCCTCGGGCACCATAGACCTCCATTATTTGAATGTCAGCAGACAGCAAGAAGCCTCCCAGATCTCCAGATGCATTTGAGATATCAAAAAAGTACTCCAGAGTGTTGTTCAGCATGGGGGTGAGTAGAAAATGAAGGCTAATCATGTTTTGGGTGTACTATTCCTTTAATCCCCATTTTTTTGTTTTAATTCTGTTTGGTGAAGTTTAAATCTAGCCCATGTGTTACTTGAAGGAAGTGCCCACAGCGCCACCCTCCTGGTGGTCCACTGATGGAGCTCTCTATTGAAATCTAGGGAGACCTGCTGCTCCTTTCAAACGCCGCCATCAGATGTGAAGGCATTTTACTGTGTTCACACCTCAGCTCCACAGTAGGATACTTCTTTCACTCGCCTGTCCTGTGTATAAAAATGTGTGTTTTTGTGTGTGTGTGTAGAACAGAGGAGGATTTCTCAACTCTTAGGTCCAATACTAATTATTTTGCCATATGGTGGCTGGCTGCCTCACAATCATCCTTGACCCTCCTTCCCTAAAGAAACGTGCTGCGCCCAATGCCACGGCTTTGCACTCTGACACATGTCATTCATATGCACATTAGTACACACAGTTCACCCCGCAGTTGTGCGTGTGTGTAACAGATGGGAATGGCAGGGCATTGTAAAAGAGAGTGCAGAAATGTCTTTCACCACGTTGACTCCTTTAAGAGACAGACCCCAAGGAGACAAGATTGTTTGATACTCTACACCCTCCAACACACACTTGAAGTTGTCAACAAAAAGTTAGGAAGATTGAGAGGAAATGGGTGGAGTTGTATGGATTATGGCAGGCTTTCTTTACCCTGGTCGTCATGGCCCACTGTCCATGTTTTAGATGTTTCTCTCATCAAGCACTCCTGATTCGAACGATTGCGTTACCTCTTTGGCAGCCATCAAATACAGCAAAAGCCTGTTGATGATCTTTTTATTAGGTCAGGTGTGTGAAAGCAGGAAAACACCTGGACAGTGGGCCAAGACGACCAGGGTTAAGGAACTCTGGATTAAAGGTGGAATAGATAATCAAAAACCTGGTCCCAATATGCTAATGTTCTTTTTTTGAGTTGGGGTTAGGCTAAAGACGAGGGTGTTAATTCTGTACAGGTTACAGTATATGTTGGTTTTAGTTAGGCTTAGGGCTTAGAGTCTAGATAAGGCCATATAAAATAAATGTAAGCCATTGAAATGTCCCCATAAGTCATATGAATAATATGAGGCATGGAAAGTATGGAGCTGTGTTACCACACAATGCGTCTCTGAGGTGTAAAGTTTTGTCTGCAGGCTCTGCTGCCCTCTGGTTTGATTACTCTGGTGAGTTGGGAAAGTGGCAGCTGCTGCTGTGGGGCTGCTTTTGTTTGCAGCCCGACCCACTCAGCAGGGAAACAAAGTGTGTTCTTGACCAGAGGAAAAGTGTAAATGAACATGCACAGAGGATGCTGCTGAAAATCACAGCTCTGTATTTCTTTCTGAGCAGTTTTTTGTATAAAACTATGTAAAAACACTATTTTTTGTTTTTGTTTTTATTAAAGATCACTCTAACACTGGCGGAGGACTGAATGGTGCTCAAAGTGTTTATTCAATCAAAAGAAGACGGCATGCTGCTGTTCTCCCTCGTCTCCATATCCCAGATACGCAGCCCCCATCTCCATCCGACTGTGATCCAACGTCTCTCCAAAGCGAAACGCCTCACCTTGACCTCAAAAAACAAGAAAGCAACCCAAGCTCCATCACTCCTCCTAAATTGCAGCCTCGTCCTCCTGTTCCTCTCCTTGCTTCTCCTCAACCTGAGCAAAATGAAGTTCCTGAAAGGGAAACTATATATCAACCTGTTCCCCAGGAGCCTGACTGGGATCTTAACTCCGTGCATTCTGGATTATCACATTCAGCATCACCTACTTCTCATTCTCTGGGGTCTCTTTCACATTTAAGCTGGCCATCTTCCAGTTTGTTCAGTCGGAGCACCGACCTCGCCAGTGGCAGGAGCAGCATCCTCAGTGATCACACTGCTGGTAAACATTCACAGTCATAACATTCATTTAGGCTCTAACAATCCATAATTGGTTATTTTGAATGATCTTTATGATTAATGTAGGATTTGTGAATTAATCCAACTTAATTTATTTTCTAAAACATATAAATTGTACAAAGGCATTGAATATAAGTCACACACTGTAATTGGATCACTTTTATATATAGCTAACATAGCACAACCTCTAAATGCCACCCAGTATCTCTAAAGTCTTAAAGATCAAACATTTTTTCGAGCCTTAAAACATCCTAAATTTAAATCTAATATGTCTTCTTTTTCAAAAAATGTATCAAAAACACAACAAGCAACCTGTTTATTAGGACTTTTATTTGTTATTCAGAATCAGAAGGTATTGATTAGTGGTTAGCCTGGTCGCTGAGCACAATCATTTTGTATGTCCTCCTCGGACATGGCAAAGTAGTATCTGTCATCCGTTCTTTATCTCTCTATTGACTTTTATTAAAGGCCTCATATTAAGCTACATTTGAAAATAAAAGAAATATTAACAGAGCATTTTTTTGCTGTTTAAGCAGGAAAATTCCTCTCAGATGAGATACAGTAGATAGCGTGTCTAAGGTGACCAGATTCCTGCAATTTAATCTGGGGACATTTCCAGATCGTAGATGAAAATAAATACAGTACATATCATGAACGTTAAAATAGGAAACGGGGACATTGACGCTTTCATCTATTTTTACATATTTATTAATATTTAGGAAACAAAAATCAAGTGTTAAAAAACAGCCAAACAATTTATAACTCTACTTAAAATCACAAACTACCTGATGATATAAACTAAAGGTCACTCATCAGTTTTAAAATCATATTTAGGCAAACCCTAATTGATCCCTGGAGAACCACCAAACCTGATTATAAAGAGTTTTTAATCTTTCTGTGTAATTTTTTCTGAGCCTATTTCCTCATGCCAGTTGCAGCCCATGATCTCTCTTATTTTTTGTTGATTAGCTTGGTTTATGTTACATTTCTGGTGCTCATCTTTATTAAAACAAAACCTGGGCTTGAAGGAACATTTATCACAATAAGTAGCCCCGTTCAAATCAGGGCGTGACCCACAGCTCTCACTGGAGCGGTTCGCAGCCGTGTGAAGCGGCAAGGATGAGGACCAGTCCCTTCAAATCCGAGACCATGGTCTTGAGCCGGAAATGGGTAGAGTGCCTTCTCCGGGTTGGGGAGGATGTACTGCCCCCTAGTGGAGGAGTTTAAGTATCCTGGGGTCTTGTTTACAAATGAGGGGAAGATGGAGCGGGAGATTGATAGGCGTGCGCTGTACCGGTCTGTCGTGTTGAAGAGAGAGCTGAGCAGAAAATCAGAGCTCTCGATTTACCCGTCAATCTACGTTCCTACTCTCATCTATGGCCATGAGCTTTGGGTCATGACCGAAAGAACGAGATCCCGGATACAAGCGGCCGAAATGAGTTTTCTCCGTAGTGTGTCTGGGCTCTCCCTTAGAGATATTACATACTGTTCAATAAATAAGTGTTTTAATTAAGAGTAATTTGAATGAGCTTTAGTGGAGGCATCCATGTTTGTCAAAGAACACTACTGCCACCTGTCGGTTTGTGACGTCATGGTGCGGTATCGGCTGTTAATCAAGTCCCAGTGCTGTATCTGGTGTTTGTCAAAACGCGCTAAATCTAAGTCATATTGAAAACATTCTTCATTCGAAATGTTAGCTACATATTATGTGTTTTTTCTCTGGCCAGAAGTTCGATGGCAAATCCTCCCTCTTCAAGTTGGCGATCCAACGACGAACCCATCCATGGAGGATCAGGAATCGGAAAGTTGAAATAACTCTTTTTTTTTTTTTTTTTTGCACTTTTCCCCGATTTATTCCAACATCCAACTGCCATGCACGTGGGCATTGTTAGTTTAAATATAGCTCTCGAGAATTTCAATGGTGAAGTCCTCTGGAAATCTTCAATAATTGTTGTTGACTGCAGATGTGTCTAGTAGTTCCCATTGATTTTGCTTGTAAAGCGGGGAGAATGGCGCTAAGCTTACCGCACCGTCACATCACTGCCGGACGATGTCAGGAGGTGTTACTATATTTGGGCAAAAATGGCCGCTCCTGGACTCGGTGATCACAACCAGAATTGTTGTTTTTCCTTTTTTTTACTGATTAACGCTTAATTCATTAAATCACTGCGAACATATTAGTTTTAGGTATAAATAATGATCCATTGATCAGAGGTGGAAAAAGTACTAAAATATCATACTCAAGTAAAAGTACCAATACTTGGATGAAATATTACTCAAGTACAAGTAAAATTACCCATCAGAAAAATTACTCAAGTAAAAGTAATAAGTAGCTAATTTAAAATGTTTTTTAAGTTAAAGTTACTTAGTTACATAAAAAAAAAAACTGTTGAACGGGGCAGGGGATCTCTCCCATGTAGTGAAAATAGGACAAGGAGTCATAAATCCAAAAGTATTTAGTTTTTAATTAAAGAAAAATCTATACAAATGTATACACGTGTAATGACAAGATAACACATGTCACACATGACATTTAAGACCCATTTAAGGCCAAGGATTTTCATCGTTTTGGGCAGCAGAATTCGATGTTTCAGCTAGCATTTCTAGTGAAACCTTCTCTGAACCGTCGTCGCTCTCCTGATCCACCTCCATCTCGTTCCCAATCTCCTACAGAAAGACTTGGCGCCTGGTAGACTAGATCTACATGCTGATCAAGTCACTCACTGTAGTGCTTCCGGGCCCGATTTTTTGTCTTCCTTTCGGTTTTCCAAAGTTTTTTTTTTACTCGGTAATGGATTTGTAATTTAACGAAATACAATACTTCACTCAAAACGTAATCAAGTAAAATTTAAATTACCGATTTTAAAAACTACTTGAAAAATACAAAATACACAAAAAACCTACTCAATACAGTAACTTGAGTAAATGTATTTCGTTACTTTCCACCTCTGCCATTGATTATTTCTTGCTGACCGGTCTTTTCCCTTAATGTTCCATAATATTGTCTTAAATGTTTTTCTTGATTTGTAGCTGATTCTTCTCCTGAGAGGAGCATTGGTTCCTTGCAGTCTGCACTTTCTCCAGCGATGCAGCCGCCACTCGCCTCTTTTACACCAACAAAATCATTAGAGGAACAAATGTTGAAGAGCAGCACCTGTGAATCCGCACCTTCACTCCCTGAGCCATTTTCTGATGAAATCCTCCAAAGATGCTCATCTTCTCTGACACCAGAAGCTGAACCTAAATCAGATAAGCCCAAAAGCAGCAAGATGGTGGCAAAACGTATAGGAAGTGCCAAAGTGGACACGTCCGGAGAGCATGTCACCGATTTGGCCCTGTCTGCTGATGAAGAGTTGGATGAGCATGGGTTTACATGTCGAAGCCCACTCAGGACCATTCCACATTCAGGATCTGGAGTAAAGCTAACATCTCCTCCCCTATCTAGGCTGGATTCACACCGCTGGCCTGTGCTGCCTCCCATCTCCCCCAACAGAGGTGAGAACTTAGCTTGATTATCCTGAACGTAGCTTAAAGGAATAGTACACCCAAAACATGATTAGCCTTCATTTTCTACTCACCCCCATGCTGAACAACACTCTGGAGTACTTTTTTGATATCTCAAATGCATCTGGAGATCTGGGAGGCTTCTTGCTGTCTGCTGACATTCAAATAATGGAGGTCTATGGCGCCCGAGACAGAAAGGTCCATAAAAGTCCACAAAAAACGTTTCAATATTCCTTCATACTGCTCGTCCAATGTATTCCAAGTGTCCTGAGTGGGTAGCATCCATAATTTACTCGAAACGAAGTCATTTAGAACGTTTTAGAGCCTAAACAGTAGTGTATAGGATTTCCTAATAGCGCCCCCATGCGTGATCACGACGCTACGGAAGCCGGCAGACCAAACCAGCGCATTCAGCTCGGCAAAGAACTCATGCTCTTCCTCAACACTGAAGTCCTCAGACATTTTTCTTTCGTTGTTTCTTTCTTTGCACAGGTAAACGGCACATTTCTTCTTCTACGCTTGCATTATCGGCAGAGCAGACGCTGAATGTGCACTTTCATCTAGTTTGGTCTGCCGCGGTTTCCGTAGCGTCGTGATCGCGCAGGTGCGCGCTTTCAGGAAATCCTATACACTACTGTTTATGCTCTAAAAACATTCTAAATGACTTCGTTTCGAGTAAATTCTGGATGCTACCCACTCAGGACACTTGGAATACATTGGACGAGCAGTATTGAGGAATATTGACACGTTTTTTGTGGACTTTTATGGACCTTTCTGTCTCGGCGCCATAGACCTCCATTATTTGAATGTCAGCAGACAGCAAGAAGCCTCCCAGATCTCCAGATGCATTTGAGATATCAAAAAAGTACTCCAGAGTGTTGTTCAGCATGGGGGTGAGTAGAAAATGAAGGCTAATCATGTTTTGGGTGTACTATTCCTTTAACATCGATTTGCTAAAAGTCTTGAATCCTTGATGAGAAGCTCCTGCCACCTCCAACATTTTTTCCTCCTCGTTCTGTAAAATAATAAACTGCTTTTCTTTTCCCTCCCTGTCAGAAATGGAAAAGATGAAAAGCTGAGTTCCATTTCATTTCGTTTGAAGGCATGAGGCCCCAAGAGTTGAAGTCAGGGGTCTCTCCCGTTCAGCCTGGATTCCCCGATGCTTTCTCTATTCTCTAATCCCTGAGAGGGAGACGTGTTGCCGACGGTCATAAATCCACACTGACCGCTGCACATCACTGAGCCGAACCACCACAATGGAATACCTCGGTGGCTTTCCTGCGGCTGCTAATTTACCGTTCCCAATGCGGATAAAGGACAGGGCCAGTGACATCTGACTTCTCCGGGAACTTTATGAAAGAAAGCAAACAATGTGGAAATTGTGTGGGGATTTTTCTCCTTTCTGTCAGAGACATCTACTGTTCTCTGTGCGGTGCTGTGCTGCAGGGGGGCCCATGCTGTATCGCAGCACGCTGTTCTCTACACAGCAGACACAGAGCAAGTGTCACCAGCTCATTTATATTTCTACAGATGGAGGAAAATCAAGTTCAGCAGGACTCTCACTGTGCAAAGCTCACAAGATGATTTCAGTTAATTTAGGCTTTGGCTTCATCTATGCAGGCCTTAATCTTTCAATCTCCATTTTCTCTGATTGTTTTGATGGTCTTATACCGACCCCAAACTGACATGTTTTGAACACCAATGATTGGAGTTTGACTTTCTACAACAATGACCTAGGGTACTGTGGTGGCCTCGCTGGGTCTGTGCGATCAGGAGCTTTTCAGCCTGGCAAAGAGACGTCTACAGGCACACAGAGGAGGCGTTGTCCTTCACACCAACCCCCTTAACCTCCCCGAAAAACTCACCCTGTCTCAGTCCAAGCCTTGTCGCCTGAGACTGGCAGGCCAGTTGACAACAGCAATATGCTTTGAAGTGTCAAGTGGAGTCCCTCCATTGTCTCTCTGAGTGGAGCATAAGTCGCTCGAGAGCACAAACAGTGCATTGGTGCGTGTGCAACGCCGTCCGCATACTCCACTGGGTGAAGCTGGCTTCATGTGAAAGTTGTAGTCGTCCATGTGGGCAGGCCCAAAAGGACCTGCGCTTGCCTTTCCTTTTGGAAACTGTATATATTATCCTTTTGTCCGGAGCAAGCTGGTCTGCATATCTAATGTGTGAAAAGCCCCAACAGGTCTCTTTCTTTGCAACACAACACACACCTCCCAGGGACACTGTTGCACAAAGTAATCCCCTGATTTCCAAACCAGGCAGGGAGAGAAAAGCTTAGGAAGTTTTGAACTTTTTCATTCGAGTCAGGTGTAAAGTCGAGGCCTCAGGGGCTTACTTTTTCACATGGCTGGTTTCTTTATGCTTGTGACTTCATAGTTCATGTGTCGGAGGAATATAATGTTATATTATCAGTATTTTCCAAGCATGCATTTATTAGAATTGTTTATGTGAGCAAAAAATCAGCTAATTTGTTGTGAAATAAAGCAGTTTCCATTAGGAAAATGGAGCTCTGTCACCAAATATCATCCCCTCTGCCTTTTTTACAGGTTCCTCAGCAGCATCCGGCTGCTCTGAGGTCAGCTGCACTCAGTCTCAGCTGTTTGATGACTTGGAGGTCATCGCTCCTCTTTCAGCCTCCAGTTTGTCTTTGGATCGACCGTCAGACTCATTAGACTCACCTCACTCACCTCTCACAGGTAAAAATAACACCCATTTGTAGCAGAAACTAATTTGTATTAATATTACATGTTTGGTATTAGTCCATGCAAGGGAAATATTTTACATTTATTGGTGGAAAATACTTTGATATTTTTAATTACTTGTATATGTAAAATACCTTCAAATGAATCTTTCATTGTAGCTGCGTGATCTCGCTCTAAATAAGGTAGAAAACGTCTTGTTGAATGCTTTTCTCTCTTGAGAAAAATAATGAAATAATAGCTTGTAACCATCCAGTACAGGAATGCAATGCATGCAATACAATGCATTTAACAGTTGCATTTAATATGAATACATTTCTCCAAGTGGTTTTATTTATTCTGCAAAATGGAAAAGGCATAAAAACATATGAACTGTGTTTATATGTATAAACTGGTAAGTGCTTGCAAGAATTTTCGTGCTGAAAGACATTTTCTTCTATCTTGTTCACACAAAGATTTACAGAGTTTATTAAAAGTTACTTTGACTCTAACTAGACTCATCTACTGAGATGAGACTGATATTTAGTTCTTGTCCTACAAATACTAGAAAAGACTTAAAAGAATGTTAGAAAAAAATGCCTTATACCAAGTACTGTAAGTATAGTAGGTTTTATCTGTTTTTATCTCTGCTAGAGGTGCCAAGATGCCATTTTTTATTTAAACAACAAAAAAAACATATTTAAGTTATTTTGAGTCACTCAATGTTAATGTGTCTTTGTTTGTGTGTGTGTTTTTTTGATTAAAGTTTAGAGGGTGAAAAGATAAACCAAAAACAAAGGACTGACTTGATTGTAATAAGAGGCTTTACTGTAATGTCATCCCAGGTAAAAAGCAAAGTCTAAATCAATGTTTTGCAGACAAAATTCCTTATTTGTCAAAATATTGAAATATGTGATGGACAGCAGCTGCTTTGGAATTTGTTGGTGATTGTCATTCAGCCAGGCCAACAAGTTCCTTAAATTACCCCCCTTTCAGAGACATAGACAGGTATGGGGCTTTGCTAGCCTGACGTAGTTCTACTCAATTCTAGTCAGAATATGAGTCTGATGCTGCTCCATAGAGCTGTGATTATGGGGCGTGTTTCGAACGAACCAGGAAAAAAAATGCCTCTGCACTCAATTGGATAGACCTACAACCAATAAGAGCAACGGAGTGCGTGACGTATGCTACGCGACGCATAGTTGTTGTCAACAAAAATCAAAGCGTGCAGTTGCACGCCTAGAATAAGAAGATGAGCCTTGATCGCGTTTCTCTGTTCCTCTTTTAAAATTAATTTGCTGTCGATATCTTCTAGAACAGACCTAATAGCAGAATCTACACACCTCAACTCTCCAGCGGCAGCCATTGTTGTTGTCACCCAAGCGTGCTTTGGTCACATGGTTGATTACGTTACTGTTGATCATCTGTCCATCATCATATAAAGCCAGCCCTGACAATTTGATTGGCCCGCCAGATATTGTGCGAGCATACTCGCGCTACTATTTAGCAATGCCAGACCGAACTTCCCGAACTCAAACGTTGTGGGCGGGACTAATTTCGGAATGGCACCAAAGCTAGGGCTTTGCAGCCTAACGAAAGAAACCAAACGACCCGCATTCCAAAGGGGTGAACCCATTCTTCCTTTTCAATTTGCATGTTTCTAACGAAAAACAATGCTTTGTTGGGCTACTTTATAAAGCCTCAAACTCAACGCTAATTCTGACATTTTGAATTGAAAAAGGTTCCTGGATGGGAAGTGAAACGTCTACAAACTTGGAAACAAAGACCAGTGGATTTTTTGTTTTTTTTGTTTTACATTTTTGGAAAAAGTTGCTTTGGAAATTCAGTCATTATTAAATATATTTTAATTTAAGAAAAGATGTTATGAGAATTTGTAAGAACTAGTTTATGTCAGAACTATTAATTTGGCTCAAAATACTGGTGCAGAAATCAGTTCAGTTGAACCAGGCTGAAGGTTGAGAGCCTGTTCAGATTGCTTCATAATGCACAGTATGGGATTTTTTTTCCTCCTGAATTAAATTACAATAAGATCTTTGCTTTATAAGAGCTCTGCTTTCCCTTAAATCAGGCCACATTTAAACATGTTTGCAGGTTATCAGTGTTTTTACTGTAACTTATCTTGGATTATGTGTCTTATGTTTCTGTCAGTTTTAAATGAGTGCTGGTGACATCCAGAGATTTGCATCTGCGTTTATCTGATCTCTCACTCTGTCGGCTTATTGTATCTGGCCCACAAAGGCGGTGTTGATGTGAGGTGTAAGTGTTTCAGCCTGCGTTAGATTGTCTGTGTGTGTCCTGGAGGTGCTTCATTCGGCTGCAGAAAATGATATCAGCCAATGAAGACTTCCTCCACCTCCCTCAGAGCCTGCTAATCCCTGACAAGGTGTTTAACCTGCTTGCTTGACCTGAACCTTTGTGCGACCCCAAGGACCTTTGGCCTCAAGGATGTGGATGGATAAGGGGTGCCCGCTGCCACAGCAACCAAAGAGATAAAAATCTGCTTAGGGTTGTGGCCAGAAGCTTTTCTAAACGCAGCTTAATGCTCTGATTTTTATCACACTTGTGAAGCTCAGTTTAAATTGGTAAAGGATGTGGTGGATTTGAAGCTTCACTGAGTGGGTGGCTTTCAGGGTAAACCTGCAAAGCTGAAATCTAAAAAAGAATCAAGTCGGTTGGTGCAGTTTGAGTAAATAATGAGGTAAATCTTTCATATTTTGCACTGATTGAACTGAAGAAATTGGTTCAATGCTGTTGGAAATAAGGTGATTAAATATACACTGCTCAAACAAATAAAGGGAACACTCAAATAACACATCCTAGATATAAATCGTTGAAATATTTCCATTGAAGACTTTATTTGTATAAAGTTGAATATGCTGAAAACAAAAAGCATCAACGGAAATCCAATTTATTACCAGTGGAGGACTGGAATTGGAGTCAAACACAAAATAAAATTGGAAAAACATTACAGGCTCATCCAACTTTAATGTAATGTCCTCAAATTGAGGCTCAGTATTGTGTGTGGCCTTGACGTGCCTGTATGACCTCCCTACAACGCCTGGGCATGCTCCTGATGAGGTGGTGGAGGGTCTCCTGAGGGATCTCCTCCCAGACCTGGACTAAAGCATCCGCCAACTGCTGTCCAGTTTGTGTTGGAACATGATGTTGGCGGACAGATCCAGACATAATGTCCCAGGTGTTCTCAAAGGAATCAGGTTTGGGAAATGGGT